TTGATCTAATACCCACAGACGTCTCATATTCTGGCATCAGAGAAACCGTGGAGCAGAGAGCTAGAGGTACATATCTTAAAGCCCAAGATGAGGCACTGTCAAGTTCAACTTCATGAATCTTGTCAAAATCTGAGCAGATCTGGTTGCCATCACAATGGTTGCTCTAAAATGTGTGGCTTAGAACACATAAAATTACACTAAAGTTGTCTGATACAGTACACCTCCTGCATCCCTCTGATCTACTCAGGGTCTGCACTAAATCCAGTATGTGGCAGAATGTGTATTGTGGGTGAGACCAGCTACAAAATTTGCCAAGACTTAATACAAGGGATTAGGTAAAAAATAAAAATAAAATTTACTGAAGTCCTTGTTAATTGATATTCATTATCTCCCTCCTCCACTATCCTTTTTAGATTTTTCTCACTTTTGTTAGCACTTCAACTTAACTGTATTTCATGGAAAAGTGACATAGGTCATCATCCCTTAGACATCCGAGCCCTTAGCTGTCTTTCTGTTGTCAGGAAGTGAATGTTATAATTGCCCATTCTTCATTAGCACTGGGCATGGAAACAGATGTGCCCGGTGAGTACCCTGAGTTCCAGACATTCTCCTCTATCTGCATTTTGTAGAAACAACCCTAGCTCTCTCTACAAATGAGCCCGATCACTACCATCTTTTTAGTCATTTCATTCTTTGCCTCCTGGTCTGCTGGCATGTAGAACCAATGAATTTTTATTCTGTCCTCTAATGAAGCCATTCTCCCGAAGGAACTAGAGTCTCTGATCAAGCAGAAGTTAAGATTGTCAAGATAATACAAATTCCACCAGTGGTATTTGAAAATGATGGTGAAAGGGGCCAATCCTACTCCCATCTCTTGGCCATTTGACCCATCTAGTCTCTCTATTGAGGAGATTACCCCCAAGATATTCGGTATAGATTCAACACACATACTGTATCCTAGAGGATAGCACCCAGCCCAACACCCCAACACTTGGCCAGTGTTAGCCCCAAGCTGGTACCTTAGTTGAGCTTTTAACTGGATATCGCACCATTCTAATGTGTCATCTGCCTCAGGATGCTAAGACATGTGGTAGGATGAATGGAGTCCATTTCTGTGCACCCAATGTTATACCTCTTTTATCATAACACAGTCCACTTGGTCTGAAACAACATGTGCAGGGTATCAGGCTGATAGATGACTTATTCTGTAAGCTCTTAAATGGTGGTGCTGGCCAAGGTATTATGGGTAGAGAAGACAAGCCCAAATCCAGTAGATCATCTTGGCTAAGATAAATCACTGGTTTTTTTAGGGTAGCAGGGATCTGATACGATCAACTTGCTTTCAAGTGGAAGGTTGGTTTTACCATATGAAGAGCTCAGTGTTGTCCTCTTCGTTGGTAGTTCGGACATTCAGCCATGGCCATAGCTAAATTGGAGGGATCGTGCACTTTAGTCCCATGAATAACCCCCATCACTGTCACCGTAGCTGCCTTCTTGGGTCCTCTGTATAGAAAATGATGTGCCCGAGGATAGAGGCTGGCTGACATCTGCTGTATTATTCTGCCTGACTGTTGATTGCCTCTCTGTAGTGGATGCTCTCTGTGAGCATTAATGCTGATGCAGAGACCTCACGCTTTGTGCCCATCCCCCAAAAGTCTATCCTCATCCTGTCTCCAGATCTCCTTGTCCTGGCCCTTGCTCCTTCCGAGCTACATGCCGCACTGCCCAGCATTCTGTTTGCATGCTTACCATGAGCTCATTCTCTTAGCACGCAAAGGATAGATACCAAATGCGACACTCAAAGATTTTCCCAACTGGTGGATGTCCCCACACTGTCTTTTCAGGACAGAGGTTATGGTTCTTTAGTATTCAAATTACAAGTACAATATTTTCATAAGCCCATCTGTGAGCTCATCCCCTGTTTCTCCCTCTGCATCAGTTGACCTTAGGAAACCCTCCGAGAGGCATGCTGTGAGTTGTGGAAAAAACGTGTTGGATAAAAATGTGTGTCATGGGAGTCTGGGATGCCACGTATAGGAATTTATTTCTGCCTTCTGCACCTGCCCAGGCCCAGCCTCAGACACGTACCACCCATTGCTGCTGTGGCCGTGCAATCCTGTTACTTCATGGGTCTAATACTGTCCAGCTCACGATGGGGACCTCAGGTTTATGATAACTTCTTGGTGCCCCACGGCCTGACACCTGGTCTTTTCTAAGGTCCAGTGTGACACAAGGACCTGTTTCTCAAATGATGAGGAGTTCTCTGCCAGAGAAAGCACAGCCTTCCTCGAGCCCTAGAGGTATAAGTTGTGAGTGTTTTACTGAGCTTGCCAAAGACCCTGTATTTAAATCCACCATAGAATATCGTATTAGTTATGAAACACTGCGTATTGCTGCAAAGCAAAATACTCCAAAACTAAGTGGCTGAAATTATTTTACCTTCCAACTAACTTTTTTTTTAATTGAATGTCCCTGTGTCCAAGTAAGTTCATTGCTGGAAGCAGTATTCTTATTGTGCCTTCTCTTTCACCCATTCTCATTTATATGGGATGGGAACGGTGAAGATGTGGACCTCTCTTCCTTTTCTTACAAGGACATGAATTCTATCCTCATTTAAACCTAATTACCTCCTAAAGGTCCCACCCCCAAATACCATCACACTGGGGGTTAAGATTCAATATATAAATTTGGGGGGACACAAGCATTCAGTTCATAACTCATCTTCCCTCCTTTACCCCCAAAACAGTCTGAGCCACTTCTCTGTAAAGTGAGCCAGGGATCTTTTCATTCATCCTACTTCTGACACCAACAGCATTAATTTTTGCTCATGGGGTCTTTTTTTAGTAAATTATTCCAGCCGTGTGACCAGCCTCAAATATTGACAACCCCCAGTTTCTATGGAAACCAGCTGCAAAGTCATCATTGGTGAATCCAATTATTATTACTAAACAATGCTGACAGGTAATTACATCCTATCTCCAAACAACTCACAGACTCATAGTTTCAAAATATAATTCATCTCAGTTTGTACATTCTACAGCTTTGGTTAAGGATCAACGCCATTCTTCAGGCAACTGTGGAGATACGCATGCAGTCAGTAAGTAGGCAATCCAGTCTGGCTGAGAGTAACCCATACTTTACACTAGGAGTCAGCTAACCTTTTCTGTAATGGGCCATATAATAAATATTTTAGGCTTTGGGGCCCATATGGTTTCAGTTGCAATTACTAAACTCTGCTGTCATAGTATAAAAATGGCCATAAACAGTGTATAAATCAATGCACATGGCTGTGTTTCAATTAGACTTTATGTGCCAAATGAGGCAGATTAGATTTATAGCAGGCTGATCCCTGCTGTACACCATCACTTCTGCTTACATCTGTACCTCCTCTGAATCCAACACAGGTGAGCATCTTAGTAAGTATGTTATATCTAGCCAGCACCTCTGACCATCTTAAAGGTCACCACCTCTCCACTGACCACCAGCAATAGCATACTTACTGCTCTTGACTGTGAGTGAACCAGTTCTATGATTCAATTCTGAGAATCGGTGTTTAAGGATCACTTCTGTGCCAGTGGTTGTAGTTTGGTTTCCTTGAAAGCAAAGGCTGAGACAAGAACCTGGGCAAGGATATTTTATTTGGGATATGATTCTAGGACTTAAGAGTTAAGTAATGAGGGGAATGAGAGAAAGAAACAAGAAAAGAAAATACAATGAGCATTGTTATCAAAGTCTCTACTGTGGGTAATAAAGATGTCAAGAGAAGCATGTAAAACATTCCCTAGAATTGTCACTTAATGGCACAAAAGATGGTGGGGGGGAGGATTGTATTCTTTATATACCAACTTTCATCCCATATGTGTTGACAAATATTAATTACCCTCAATTTCTGAACTGAGCTGCACAAGCCAAGTGAGGTCTTGCAAGTCCCTGAAGAGTCGGAGAAAGCCCTGGAACAGAAAGTGGAAAAACACATCGTGCGCTTTTGAAGTGGGATGCTATCAGTGCAAGGTGACTTGAAGGTTGTGTTGAAGTCTTATTGCTGTTAGGGCTGACATCAGAGGTGGGTCAGGGGAAGTGGTACAGGGTGCCAAGGGGTATCAAGGGTGAGCTGGCCCACAAGGGCAAATTCATTGGCAGTGCTAAGTCACAGCCATCTACATACATAGAAGCCTCAGGTACTGAAGTCCTGGTGTTGAGGAGGCTCACAGGCCAAGAGGGTGGGGCAGACACTCCAGTCTTGGTGGAGAGGCTAAAGTTACGACCAGTTGTCTAAACTGGCTGCCACTTCCCATGTCATAGTTACATCCAATTATATAATCCAAGGTTATAAGCAATGTCAAGACAAAGCAGATTTAAGGCAGTTTCTACCTCTGAGTTCAAAATGAGAAGTGCCCACTATCCTCTCAACTGTCTGCACGAAGCCCAAGCTGCTCAGGCCTGTCCTGCTGCCCAGAGGGACTCTCTCCTGTGTCAGCTCCAAACAAACCAGCCCTGAGCGTAAAAACCTCGCAGGCTTTCTCCTGTTTTCTTCTAGGAGCCAGTAAACTGCTGCTCAGAACACCAGAAGCTCCTGCCTCATGTTTTATTTTTCAATTCTATTCCCAAAGAGCCTCAAGATACTATGAGATAAGAGAAAGAAAATTTAAAAACCTCTCTTAGCACTTTGATATATAAACCCAAGATAAGGTAGAAGATAAACAAAACAGAAAATCATTACAAATAAGATAGTGTAATTCTATGTCAAAATGAAAGGAAAAAAAAGCTATAATAAATCTAAATGTCAATATTTAAGTGAATTGTCACATAAATTGTTTTGCAGTCATTTGACAATATTACATACTACTCAACTAATCTTTTTAGAAATATTTAAGGATGTTAAAAATGATCACAGTATAAATGCAAGTGTGGAAAGTCTGAATATAAAAGTACATATACTATCACTGACTCTTCATTTTAGATGAGTAAGATGGCTTATTTTCTTTTCACTGTAGGCTTGACCTTCTTGTTGGGGGCCTTCCCAGCACGAAATGATGGAGTAGAAGGAGATTGTTCACAGGAATGTTCGCTTAAAGAAAAGCGACCTAAGGGTCCTTTCTGGCAGATTCCCAGATGCGTGTGCCTCTGAGATTGAAGAGCTGGAACATTCTGTCCTGGCCTCTGACCACAGGTGAGGGGTAAAGGGCCCAGGAAGATGACTAGGAACCAGACACTTCCAAAATGTCCACTGGGCTTGTCAGATTCCCTGTCATGGAGAGTGAAAGATAGTACAGGTGTTTGGTGACTTGTTCTAAATGACCTCAGGGAAATTGGGGCACTCTTGTAAATACAGTAACAGAGAGAATAAACGTCTTTCATAGCCTGGGAATGCAGTGAGCAGGGGCTAATGTCTTGTGGTTCTTTCTAGGATAATAAAATGTAGTGTCTATGGAGTTCGGCCTGGAAATGGTTTCGGCTATTTCAGGAACACCGTCTCTGAGAATTCGTTGACACCTCGGTAAAAGAAGAATCATTCTCAGGTAAGTAAATCAGTTTCAGAAGGTAAGGAATCCTGATTTCATGAAATAAAGACAGTCTCCTTAGATCTAAGGGGAATCCAAGACTGAACAAGAGGAGGAAAGGGGAGACAGAAACTGTAGGCTAGGATTTTGAAAAGAGATTGGGTGGAAATTCTGTAATTGGAAGATCTTCATCTGGGGGTTGGAGGTCGAGCGGGCAGCAGCTAGTTTCACTTTGAATCCTTGCAGTGGTTCCTAACCTCGCTTTTTCCAGGGTTCTCCTTGGGGCCTCACGCATACTCTGCGCAGCACTGGCAGTAACGGAGGGGTAAAGCCACAGCCCTACGCCTCTGAAATTATTAGATGGAAATTCTCTTTTACTTTAGAGAGACTAAAAGCAGTCCTTTAATTCAATAACAATGTTGGACTTCAGTAGTATCTTTAGCAATCATTTTATTCCTACCCTAAGAATGTTTTTGCTCCTAAAATTTATGGAATTCCCAGGTTCTATGAGTGAGAAAAACTGCATCAGAGACATAATAACAAGAAATCTATTTTAAAAAAATACATTGCCTGAGTCACTTGAAATTTTTGAAGTGACAGGATAGATATACTCCTGAGGGAAAGAAAATTTGAACTACCATATATTTGTCTTAAGCTTTTTAGAAAATTAATACTCTCCCAGTGATATTTTGCCCATCATCTTTTGATCAGACTGTGTCCATTTAAAGTGTTGGCAACATCTTTGGACATCAGCAGGGTGCAGAAGTAATACACCTTGTGTGCTCTCAGAACCATTGAACCGCCAGTAGTTTTCCAGTCAGTGGTCGCCTCTCATTTTTTTACAGACCGGCTTTTCCATTTAATGTGAATCTGTTTTGAGTTAATTTTCGGTGAAGGAAAGGCAGCATTAACTATGAGTCTTCTTATCTGGAGCAAATGACCTACCAGAAAAAAAAGACATGAAAACACAGTGTTAATACTATATAGAAACACTGCAGTTTTATTAAGTCATCTTCTGTCTCCGCATAGAAAAAAGAATCCAATTCAAATACTGGCCATCACCAGATGGAAAAGGTGCTACAGTGAAACCCACAAACACCAGTCATAACAAGTAACCGAGATCAGCAATGGAGCTCTCTGAGAAAGTTATGTTAATAATTTACTGGCCATCATGTATTTTAGTGCCCTATGCTCAGAATTCTTGGTTCCTCTCTGTTCTAGAGAACACCGTCCTTTTTCCTATTTTTTATTTTCAATGATATATCTAATATATAACAGCAGCAACAATTCAAACACAAAAGTGAGCTGTTCACCAAAAAACATGAGCATACCATTCAGTGAGGGTGCTTGAGAGGTTTTAGGAAATTTTCAATGTGGCATTGCAAGTGAGACATGCTCTGTGCAATCACGTAGAAGCAGGAATGTGCACGGCATGGTTTGAAGCTAGCAAGGAAAGTCACTTTGCTTTCTGGAGGAGAGTAGCTGGAGATAAGCTAGGGACAGGTATTGGCTGGTGTCTACTCTCTCGGAAAAGGAAGCAAAGAACCCAATTCAGCTACTGGCTACCGGAGGACTAGATAATGTATAAACCATTATCACAGATCACATGTAAGGATTAAGTCTCAACAAAATTGTCAAGGGGATGAAATGTGTCTTTGGTTCCACATTTTACCCACTTCGATGCCGTAAGGCTTTCTTTCCTTAAGCCTCTTTAAAATGGGCATGAAGTTCCTCGTTTCATTGCTAATTGCAAAATTTTGGTTAACATCTTCAACTGTTGCCTCAGAGACGCCCGATGTATATTAATTAGAATAAAAGGGTTATTAAAGATGAAATAGGAAATGCAAGCATAAATCACTGGATGAGGAAGAATTAGCTTTCCTAGTTTCCTAAAATGAGTTACTATAGGTAGGGTTAAAAGTTGCTCTATTACCTGGGATCCTAACCTTTCAGCTAGAATTTATTTTTCTCCCACGTCTATGTAAATCCTCCCGGGAGTAAATTTCTAACTTTGCAAAAGATGAAAAAAGAAGAAAATTAAAGAAGTTCTCAAGTACCTGGCAAGAGAGACGAGAATATTTACTGCTGGTTGGTTAGCCCACATCCATTATGAACTCACCTTCTTCCTTCCATGGAAGCTGGAGCATATAAACGGACTTATCCAGCCTTCCTTAGAGCTACAAATGGCCATGTCACAACCTTCTGGCCATGGAGACTGAAGAAAAAGTCTTCTGGGGAACATCTGACAAACTTCTGTTTCACTGCTAAAGGGGACAGAGATAGTTGGCAATGCCATTTCGTGACTTGAACGGGAACCTGGTGCCCAGAGCAGTGGCAGCTGTCTTGTGAAAATAAAGGACAGACCAAGGACTTCAGAAATGCCAGATCTGATATCTTTGAGCTGCTGAACACCAGCTGCCACATATTTCTTGCTACGTGAGAAAATAAAATCTTTTTACTCAAAGCATGGTCAGCTGGATTTCCTATTTCTTGCAGCTAAATGTACTGTCCCTCTAACAACAAAGAGCCAACATTGTAATCAATTGAGCATTTTTCCTTAAATATGCTTATGTCAGTGCTGGGATCAAGAGGGAGTGGAAGTGAGTCATATCACACAAAACCATGAGGATGCGATTCCGGCGGACGCAGCTCCCGCCCTCCACACCCTCCCTGTCTCTAGGTTCACTTCAGGCATGGAGGAGTCTTTCAGTTTTTACCAAAATATTTAGGACCCAAAGCTTCACATTCTAGGTTGTTCAACCAGCTCAGAAATACCCACTTTACAAGGAAGCACATTTATAAGTACAATTCACAAGCAAAACTAGTATACAGGACTAATAATTATTGAGCACCTCATAGGTACAGATCCTTTGCTATTCATTTTACATATATGATCTCATAAATAGCATTTAGATCTGAGAGCAAAGTTTTTTGTCTTCACAACACAGGGGAACATAGAAATTACTTTGTTGTAAGCAATGGTTTCTAAGAAAGGATGCAGAAAACAATAACCCAGTAAAGTAAGATAAATTATTTAGATTTTACCAGAATGTAAAACTATATATAACAAAAGATGTCATTAGAAAAATGAGTAGAATAGCCTAGGGAAAATATTCACAAGGCTGGCATTTAGAATATATAAAGAAGCCATACAACTTTATAATAAAAGGACAAACAGCAAAACTACTTAAATGAACAAAATACTTGAACAGACACTTTACAAAATAATGTATATGAATGACCAGTAAGCAGATTTTAAAAAGTGTTCAGTGCTATTAGCCAGGAAATAAATGTAAATTAAAGTCACAATGAAACAGAGCTATGGGAAAAAGCTAAAATTAAGAAGACTGACAATATCAAGTGTTGATGAAGACATGGAGCAACTGGAATTTTCCTACACCCTTACATTGTCTTACAATTACTTAGGGTGGGGAAACCAGAGAGTTCTGGAAATTTATTATAGAACTAAAGCTACAGTGACCTAAATCCCAGAGACAATGAGAGAAGTTTCTGGGGTGACAGTATATGTCCTATATCTTGATAGATGTTTGGGTTACATAGATATATTCATTTGTCATAATCTAATAAACATTCATTTGAAATTTGCAAAGTTTATTATTTATAAATTGTGTCATGAAAAAATATATATACAGTAAACAAATATTGAACTTTCAAAATAAGCATTGTGAAGTATTTGGGTAGAAGTAAACTGGTGTCTGCTATTTGCTGTGGAATCATACATCATTGATGGGTGAAGAGTACAATGGATAGATGGCTGAATACTCTGTAAAGATAACATAACACCGATGGTAGAATCTGCATGGTGGGCAGCAGCATCCTGTGTGTTTATAACCTGATATGAACCAGCATTGGAAAGGTTTGATGATCTTATCAACAAAAACCTCTCTTTAGTGGAAAACCTTTCAGGTCTGTGCAACTCACGAATGCCTGCTACTGGTCAACCTGTCAGAATCTGCATTTGAGCACAGACCATTTGCAGTGGCATCTGGTGAGAAAGAGATGATCCTTGACAGTGCACTCTCAGAGCATTTCCCCAGGACTATTCATAAAATAGGCTCCTGGCACTTTGCTGAATGCACACTAAAGACAGAACCATCTGGAAAGCAGAGTATAGAATGATCTCTATTTTTCCAAGAATCAAAGCAAGGTGGAACATTTCTGAATGAAACCATGGATGTTATTCATAAAATCTGGGCCACATGAGGTTAGAGGCATATTGGTTTCCAGTCTAAGGATAAATTGGCCATCCTTGGCCTTTCAGGAAAATGCCCACAGATTAAGATGATGAAGAACAGATGCCACTATTTGAAGAAAGCCCTAAGCGGGATTGATTGGCAAGGCAACCATAACAGCTGTGTCCTGCCACAGATGGACGGAAGGATGACACATGTTTTAATGTGGTGAAGACAGATCCTGGGTCCAGCTGCTTCCGAACAAGCAATCCGGCCAGTTTGAAAAGGTTGGAAGGAACCAAACTTGCCAATCCTTATATCAAGTTCCAGGAAGGGCTTAGAGTTGAGCAATTCCGTGTTGGAATTCGGTTTGAGAGCAAAAAACTATCAAAAAATGTTTCCGTAGCAGAGTTCCTTAATGAGAATATCTATACCTAGCAGACCTTAGAGAAAACATAGATGTAGATCTTCCCCCGGCCTGTCTGGAAGGCTTCTGCCTATAGCTTCCTTTCTTGCAGCGACCCTGCCCCTTACCACTACCCAAAAGTCTCGTCTTCTCATGATATCCTGGACTTCCATACACACACACACACACACACACATATGTACATATACACTATATAACGTACATATGCCCACTAAAGTGACAGCTGACTAATGTTGGACAATTTGCCTTTATGGAAAAATCTACAGCATTCAGTGAAATGTATACCACTAATGGTTGAATTTCAGGCATCGGTGATAAGTTGAAAAAATACTGGAGGCAAAAAAGCATTCAACCCATAGTCATTTATTCATAAAGTAGGTACTAACATCCCCTCTGAACATCTTTATGTAAGCTATGAGGAGGAATACAGTGACATAGAAGTCAGATTTCCTTCCCTCCAAGAGTCTGCAAATAGGGTTTAGATATGTACATAAATAACTAAATATTCAATCAGTGCCTGATAAAGGACATAGGACTCTAAAAGATCATTTATTTTCTACAAGTTCAGGGAGGGGAGAAAGAACTTCTAAGTAAGGTGCTCATGAGGGGCTTCAGGGTAGAGGCTGATAGTGAGTTTTCCCTGAGGGATTCAACTCAGGAGGCTGGGAATGAGGGAGACCGTCTTGGTAGGGCAAATGCCGTGAGCAAAGGTTTAGAGGGAAGGAGGTCTGGAGAATGGGCCTCCCTACGTCTTATGTGAGTCATCATCTCAGGATGTGTCGACTCACATTAGATGTGTCGACTCACTTCTGCAGAACAGTGAAGGAAACTGCTATTTACTCTTTTCTGTTCCCTGAATTAGCAGCTCTCTCACAAACCATATTGTTCTTCATTCTATTACTTTTCATGTAAGACTCAAAATCTCTTGGGAACCATGGTCTACTAATTTATGGTCTATGGATGTGGTCTATTAAGTTTAAGTTACATTTGAAAAACAACAAATATACTTAAAGCAGGCCAGTCCTTTGAAAACCTAGTTTTTGTTTTGTTTTGTTTCTCCTTGCTGAAATCAAATAAACTCTATACATTCCCTCTGAGGTTACCAAACTCTTTGCTTTATTTCTTTAATAAAGTGGAAAACACTACCCATAATGTAGTCTCACAATTATCTTGAGACTATCCAATCAACACTTCTATTTCCAGGCATTAGTGCAGTCATTTCATTTCATGAACAAAAAGAAATATTAGTGATAATTAACAGTCTTGTAAATGAGTAACAACTTTGAATAATCTGGTCTTAGCATAATAACTAGGAAATTAACTGAGCTCATTATTTTAATTATTTAGATAGACATTTTTTATGTGCATGACAGATTCAGAAGCTTTGTCCTCTAAACTAACAAGAATATGAGGAATTATTATGGAGAGGGTGATTATCATTGTTGGTATTATTCCTAGCTCTGAAGACGTGCACGAATCATAGCACCTAGGACCTCTATAAGGGAAAGTTCACTCTAAAGTTAAAGGCCAATGCCTAGTTAGTTTCAGCATATTTATGCTCTGCAAAGATCCTAAGAGATCTGAGAGCAGAAGCAGTCATGGTTGACAAGTGCTGTTAGTTCCACCTCCATTTTTAACCTTAATTCCTGCCACTATAATCTCTGCCTCTGTGCCAGGGGTACCATTCTGTGGTGTTTGAAGAATCCATATTAGAACCCCAACTTGGGAGTAGAATGAGATGGAGATTGATTGGAGCTCCTCTGAGAGGTCGCAGTGTGCTTGAATTGTAGGCACACATCACAAAGCTTAGAACTTGCTGAGCAGTGTGGTCTGGCCAGGGTGCTGGCACTAAGGAAGTGAATAATCTGTAGGTCATTTTAAAACAGTCATAAAGATGGTTAAATGTTGAGCTGCTTTTTATCACCATATGCTGGTAATTCTAAACAATGCTATAATACCTTTGCTCACCAAGAAAGGCTGCTGCCACAACCCATCTCTTTGGCCACTACTATGCCAGGGCCTTGTAGGGCATCTGGAAATCTGCTGTAACAGCAGCATCCTATGTCAACCCAGCAGGAGCAGATGGAAAATTCTCTTTAATCACAGCATCTGTCTCCCACCCATGAATTCCTGCATCTCATGGTCGGGGAAGGGATGCAGAGAAGAGACTAATTCACTTTGCTAAAGGCAAATTAAAGCTCCAGGGGACAAAAGTCAAGGAGAAGGAGATTCACAGTGTGAAGTTAGCTTCGTCTGATTTACTGAAACATCTTCATGCGTGCCTTTAAGCATTGATGTAATACAATTTGTAGCAGACTTGTATCTGTCTACAAAACCAGGGGTTCATTCAGGTATCAAAAAATGTTGTAACACCTGCCCTGTGCTGGGCACTATGATGTTCTGGAGGCCTAGATTAGAACAGTACACATGCAGATACATGTGAAATGCAGACACTTCTACTTTTTAAACTAGTGAACCTGCTAAATCAAACATAAACACTCCTTTCTATCAGAGACATCAATTTCCAGTGATAGGACAGTGTAACCCTCTACTGAAGAAGGAAATGTTTTCCCTTATTACCTCATAACTACTTCATAGTTTTCCCTGGAAACACCAAGGCCCATTCCCATGCAAAGCAGGGTTCCTGCTCTGTTCTCTTCCACCTGAGGACCTATCAGCTAAGAGGAACCACATTATTTTTCAACAGCTGCTTCCTTAGTAAACTCAAGAGGGGCTTCAGTTTTGTTATCCTTACAAGGATTCAGATTATTTTGCCTTCAATCTTCCAAGGGTAGGGGGCCGTTGGGGAGGTGACGTAAAGAGAAGGCAGAGAAGCAATTGCAGGTGAGGAAAGGCAGTAGAGAACTCTTCCAGTGACACGTAGATGCACATGATCTGCACTGAGGAGAGAATAGAGGAACAAAGAGAGTTTCTGGTATAACAGACACATTCCCAGTCACGGTGATGAGACTTAACATTACAAGGCCATTTGTCACTGACACTGCTATTTGATGAAGTATTCCCATTATGACACACAGAGAGTGGAATGTGCCTCGGGTTGGTTATTGATTTTTTTCCCCCAAAAAGCCAGCAAGACTTTCTCTTACTCTGATTCATTGAGACACCCAAGAATGTGGTTTTGAATTCCTCCAAAGGATAAAACAGATGCAAAAGAAGATAGTCATGTGAGCTGATGCCAATTAGCTAAGCCCAGGAGGGTGACTGTGAGTTCAGGGTTTCCTTTCCCCAGAACTGAAATGCTCTGCAGACAGGTGCCCTTGTGATTAAAAGTGACACCGCTGAGACGCTCAGAAAGCTTCTCTCCAAATTCTGCCTCGTTAAGAACCTTTCTAATGGTGAGATAACTTGCATAACTCTAGACCGTGGAGGATTCAAGCATGAGTGTTGTGTTATACTCGATGCTCTTTTTACAATTTCACTCTTTCAGAAGCCTTGGAGTGATTTAAATTGCACTCACTGAAATAAATACAAGTTAAATATCAGTCATGTAACCACCAACCATGACCCAAAGCACAGATCAAATTCAAATAGATAAATAGATTAAAAAAAAAAAAAAAGCAGAGAATGAGAAGCGTGTGGCCTCTGTTTGTCAGGGGCATCCTATGACTAGAGAGGCGATAGCCACCCTTAAACTAAAGCAGTGGCAAGTGGCCACTGTGACTTAGTGGGTAGTTGGAGGTGACGTACTGTGATGCTTTCCACCACAGTAGAAGAGCATGAGTTTCTCATAGTTTATTCATTAAACAAATATTTTGTTGTAGATTTGAGGCATATCCATATTCAGTAAGAAGTAGAGGGCTGCCAAGATGGAGAAATTCTGGGCACAGATTGGAAACATAGCTGAAGAATTCTCCAATAAGGAGGGAATAAGAAGACCTCATCTCTTCTGTGGTCCAAGCAAGATACTATGACTTTGTGGCATCAAGATTTCAGGTAAGAGGACAGGCAGTCAGAGAACATTACTCTTCTGTGAGGCCTGTGATAGTTAATTTTACATGTCAACTGGGTCATAGGGTGCCCTAAGATTTGGCCAAACATTATTCTGCTTATGTCTGTGAGAGTGTTTTGGCTGAGATTAACATTTAAAATAGTAGATTGAGTAAAGGAGATAGCCCCTCTAAGGTGGGTGGGCCTCATCCAATCAGTTGAAGGCTTGAATAAAACAAAAAGGCTGACCGACCCCTGAGGAAAAGAGAGCTCCTCTTGCGTGGAACTGGAACACTCACTTTTTCCGGCCTTAAGATTTGAACTGCGACATCAGCTCATCCTGGGTCTGGTGCCTGCTGTCCTTTGCCTGGAACTATATCATGAGCTCCCCGGGTCTCCACCTTGCCAATTCGCCCTGCTGTAAGTTGAGACTTGTCAACCTCCATAATCATGTGAGCTATTTCCTATAATAAGTGAATAAATGCATACATACATACCTAAGCAGCAAATAAATGAACACACATATACATATATACATCCTATTGGTTCCATTTCTCTAAGAACCCTTACTAATGCAACACCTAAGGGTATTTTTCTCAGTCATGAGTTATTTTCCGCTCCTTCCCTCCCTTCTTCCTTCCTTCCTTCCTCCAAAGAAGAATACAGACAGATACTTACAGTTATCCCAAAAACATTCACTAAATAATTGATTAGATTTCTGATAGTTACTTTATATTTTATTAAATTTCTGTTTGCACTTGGGTACCTTTCTGAGTTTTCTATTCTATTTGATTATTCATACATTCAGACCACTCTTTTTTTAATTGTTTATTTTTTCAAATGTAGCACCATTCTCTTTAAACTATTGAGATTGTATGCATTTGAATATATGGTGTCCCCTTTCTCTCTTTTATTGCTCTCCTTTTCTAACTTTCTACCAGGTGTTCTTTTTTTAAAATTGTTTTGTAGATTGAGGTATAATTTATAAATAGCGAAATGCATAGATCTGAAGTGCACAGTTTGATGACTCTTGAAAATGTTATATAGCCATGCCCATTTCAGTATACAGTATTGTATTTTAATTTGTTTTGTTTTGAGAAGCAATATCCTTATGTTGTTGAATCTTCCTATCCACACATAAAGTATGTTTTTTCAGTGCTCAGGTCACTTGTGTGTCAACAAGCGTCTATTCTATCAAGCCACCAGGAATTTGGAGGTTATCGGTTACAGCAGTCAGCTTTGGTTTGTATTCTCTCGTCTCATCATGCCTCTGTTATATTTGGCTACATGCCCTGCTGTAAGTGCTATTAATACTCAAGGGTACCGTTTATCAGCATAAGGGAATTTCTGCAAAGCACCACTAGGTGTCCTCTACGAATAATGTTCCCTGAGCCGCTGAAGGACAGTGAAACTATTTTCTCCTGTTCATAAATCACTTCGGCTCTGCTGGCTGAACTCATCAAAAGCTGGACCAGGACTCCACCCTGCTGCCATCATTCCTAAAGTATGGACCAATTCATCGGAAAAAATGGGACTGTTTGTTCTTCTTTTTAAAAAAAATTGTTAAATAGATCATTCTTCTCAGAAACAAAAGTATAGCCTTTATTACATTATAAAGATTTACTTAGTACCAGACACTTGCTTATTTATCTGAGAGCTGGTTAAGAACAGATTTGGAAGAGACAAGTTCCATCGTCCACCTCTCTTCTCCAGCACTTCAACACGGCAGGAAAATGGTTCATACAGCATCGAGGTCGGCTTCAAAGGAGAGAAGTAACGAGAAAGCTGGAACATTCTGGAAGCGAGTGGCTGTTGCACATCCCTTGATTTTTATGTGTATGCTTGGAGGGAGGCATTGGAAATGGTTGACGATCATCTTTAATTGCTTTGGTTAAGCCACCCCATTCCCCACTGGCTTTAATATTCCTATTTGGGTAAGAAAAAACTAAGAATAAAGACAAGGAGGCCAGATCAAACAAAAGCTGGTGAAGTGGAATAGGCAAGACTTAGTGTCGTCTAGGCTTCAGGCAATGAGAAAGGGAGACATATTTGAGAGGTATTTACTTAGTCACAGTATTTATGTATTTACAGCAAAAGAGGTAAAATGCATAAGATTTGGCAGCTATTTGCTGTTTTGGGTAAAAGAGAGGGACATGGTCAAGAAAAACTCCAGAATTCCAGAGTCGAGGCTACTGGACATGATGTTACCTCTTCTTCTTAAGGCAGGAAAAACTGAAGAAGGAAGAGAATTATGGTACAAGGACAGAAGGAATATGTTTTCACTTTTTAATGTGAACGTTTCACTTTTAATTTTGATACATCTGGAGGATGTCCAAGTGAGACCCTCGAACAGATTGAAATCATTCTGAAGAAGAGTTTGGTTCAAGAAGAAGGAGTAGCAGAATTTTTACTTTTCTCTGCTCCCTCAAACTCCACCAAAAACAAATTTAAAAAATAGAAGGAAAATAATCTTTCTTCAATGAAACATGGAAAAGGACAACCGCAAGCCACAAAGTAGGAAGGAGAGCTGCAAAATACCTCAGGTCTAGACTAAGGGTAGAGGGCCCAGAGAACCAGCCCTCGCCTCCTAGTATCCAGACCAGGATAACTCATTTCCTCAAAAAGTTTATGTCACGGACACCATAAAAGTTCCTTTGATTAGTGGCCTGAGCTCTGTGGGTATAGGAGTCCATGAGACAGGAGGGGTCCTTACAGAGACCCAAGGTGACATCTCAGAATGCAGGCAAGGTACAGTAGAAGGCCAAGTCATGCTGACCTGCCATGTATCTGCGTGAGAGGTGGGGGAAGAAATGTGGGTGTGTGTCTGTATGTGTGAGAGAGGAAAGGAGAGAAAGGAGGGGAAGGGGCGGGAAGGGACAGGACTCCCACTATACTGTCCTTGCCAGGGGAGACCTCTGGAGGTGAAGGGGGTTGAAAGACGAAGGGAAGCCGCTAAAGCCAGACCACAACAGCTTGTGACTTAAAAGGTTTGGCTGTTATCCTACCACGTGATTCATTTATTCATTCATTCATTTGCTCATTCTGAGCAAGTGGCTGCTTCCATTTGATGATGAGTAATAACTAAAAAGAAACCAGGATGGGCTGATACCTAAAAACATTGCCAAAACAAAGAGAGAGTCTGCATATGCAAAAGGCAGATGAGAGCATATTTTACCCAAAGGAAATAGACGGGTTACACAAGAAAGTGGATGAAGAGTAGTTCTCCACGTGATATATAAAAGTTGTGATCTCTGTTTAGAAAAGACAATAGGAATGAGATAGGACTTGTCATAGTTATTTTCTGATTTTGCTGCCTGGCATCCACTTCGCCTCCTCTTAGTAACAGTACCTGCCCTCATGAAACTGAAATGCTTTGAAAGAAAATAACCCAACCTTCATCTCTAGGGGTAATGTTTCAGCCACAGTGATTGGTTCAGGAATGGACCTGTGACCTAAATTGGCCAACTCAAAATGAAGCCATCATTTCTGTGCAACATTTGAGATGGAAAAACCTTTTACTCTTTTATTTCCATGTGAATGAAAAATGAAGTTCTGGAAGTTGCTGGTGGCCATTTCACCGCCACAAGGGGAGCTCTTGGCTAAGAATGGACCCAATGTCAAAAAAGCTAATTTGAGAAGTTAGAGGAGGAGAGAGAGAGAGAAACTAAGTCCTGAATAAGTAGTTTTAACCCTGGGTAAACTCATTTCCTGGTGTCTTTAAGATCCAGTCAATTTTCTCTTATTATTTAAGCCATTCAAGCAAGAGTTATTTATTGCCTGTTTCAGAAACATTCCTTATTGAAACACAAGAGATGAAGAAAGCACATTTATAGCGATAGGTGACATTTACTGAATGCACGTTTGGTGCCAGGCACAATACTAAGCACTTTATGTAAAGAATAACATTTAAACACCATAACAAGTCTAAATATAGGTACTATTATCATCTCCACTTTATAAATGAGATAACTGAGTGACCCAGATGAGATAAATAATGTTTCCAAAATGACAGAGCTAGTAACAAATAGAGCAACAATGTGAACCAAGTGAATCTAACTCCAAAGGTATGTTTAAACAGCAGCCAGAGTATCTTCTCTAAAAGACTATTTAGACAATATAAGAAGATAAATCAGGAAGATAAACGTAGAGTGGGACATAGTAAACTGTTCATCTTTGCCTGTTCCGTTAGTTTGGATTACTTCTTCTTGAACACTGCTGATATGGAAGTTGGATATACTTATCGTCTCCCACATTTGTCATCTTTTCTATAAAAATGTTTATATCCTTGTTCTTTTCCAGTTAATTTTGTGAGACTTCTTCAAGTTTCTTCAAGGAATTTCAGGGATATTTATTGGGTTTATTAAAATTTTGGTCGCTTAATTCTTCCTTTTCTGGCTTTTCATCTTATCTTTATTCACAGATGACATGATCACCCATGTCAAAATGTTAAGAGACTTGTGGAAAAGCTACTAGAATTAATAAATGAGTCTACTAAAGTCAATGGGAGGTTGATATGCACAAATCAACTGTATTTCTATATAGTAATAATCAGCATTTAGAAACCAACATTCAAAAGGCAATAGCATTGGCAACAGCATCAAATGATATAAAGTAAAGATCAATTAAACAAAGCATGTGTTAAGACTTGTATACTGAAGACTTTCAAGCATTGCTGAAAGAAGTTAAGGACGTCCTAAAAATGAGCCTATAGAATTAACAGATTTCCAATCATAATTCCCAAGAGCTTTTCTGGTAGAAATTTTCCAGTGAAATTGAAAGATTTATAGCAACGACCTTCAATATTTACTATAAAATTACAATACGTAACAGTGAAATTCTGACAGATATAAATCATGCAGAGTCCAAACAAATATATAACAAAACAGAGTCCAAAAATAGAACCATGCATACATAATACATTGATTTTCAACAAACCTACCAAAGAATTAAATGAGGGAAAGAAAGTATTTTCAACAAATCGTTAAGAATAGTTGCATCTGCATTTACA